TTACAAATGATGGGTGGTGGATTCTATTAAAGGTTAACTGACTTGCAGTAACTGATTGGGGTGGCAACGGGAGGTGCGATGTGACGGTATCCATAGTCAGGTGGTGATCGTAGGTGGGCAGTGGCAGGGGTTTGCGGGTGGCAGTAGTTAGTGGCCAACAACAATAGTGATGATGGCGTGAAGAGATTGCGACGACAACTTTTGAGCTGCGTTTGAAAATTGCCTCTATCAGGCGATTTCTAAATACACAATTTGAACTAAATGATCATTTCTACATTTACAAAAAAATTACATTGCATTTATTTTCATGAATTATGAAAATGTAATGTATTTGGTTTGTATTACCGTCACGGCGCGTCCCTAGGGCTTAGATTACCAAGACGAGAATCGACGGTCGGACAGTTAAAACATATTTACCGGTTTCATTTCATAATCAAATAACATCCACCAAAACACAGCAATAACAATTCTAATTCAAAAAACTTAATTTTATAATATTTGACTCATATTTAAACTAATACTTATTAGCTTGCGCTCCGCGACGCCTATACTCTCCGGGGTCCATCTAATTTACAATTGATTTTTTTGTAAAAATATTAGCAATTATGGTTTTGAATTAAAACTAATAAGTGGGTAAATGATTCTAAATTACAATAATTCTCATTTTAAAATAATTTGCAAAGAACTGTATAAGAAAAAACTGCTCAGTAAAATAAAGTAGTAAAGTAAATAATTTCATTTTCTTTCATTAATTTATGTTTCACTTTTCATAATTGAGAGTTACCGTCTAAACATATACTTTATAAAAAAATATACATTTAACATTTTTCAACCCACCATAAAGGTAGACAATCCAGTTCCATTTTTCAGTTTCATTTCGTGCACGAGTACAATGCATTCCTCTGCTAGTAGAGCTATAAAAAAAACTCGTTCGCAAACAGTTCGTGTTTGGCTCATTTGTTAAGTAGACAGGTCGTACAAGAATAAATTTTTTAAGCTCAAATTATAAATAAGTCAAACACGAACAACCCTTTGTTCACTCGTGTTCGACTCGTTTTAGCTCGAAATAAAGGAATTATATTTTTTATTCATATAATAATATTATATATTTATATTATTTATTTAATAATATATTATATATATTTAAGTCTAAATTTAAATTGTAACAACTTGTGTGGTCATATGGTTTAGTGCCTTCTTTTGCGTAGAGATGGCGCATGCTCGAATAAAAAACTATACATATATTTTTTTCAATTAATTTTAATGAGTCAATTTCGAGTCGAACATGAACGGAAATGTTTAAATTAAGCCAAACATGAACACATTATTCACGAGTTAATTTCGAACACGTGTCAATTTCAAACGATCCGATTTCGAACGAGCCGAACACGAGCCAAGCCTGAGATCGCTCATGCTCCGCTCCCACAACCTTAGTTGTTTGTACCATGCAGAGGTGACTTCCATATGTATACATATATGATATTTTGTTCATTTTTTTATCTTGCATTTAATATTTAAAAATCATGCATTTTTTCATTTTAAAAGTAAAATTTGGCAGGCAGTAAAAACATGTGTAAATTAACAAAATTATGATAAAATAAAAATATATTACCCACCTAAGAAATATGGTCTTCTATCATTTCCTCAGATTAATCTATTCATTTTTGTGAACATATAAAACAAGTTAACCTTTATTAGCATTTATCAGTTTTATTTTATTTTATTTTATTCTTTAACTTTCACATGAATTTTATCATAATTAGAATATTAAAATTTTCACCTATTTATTATTTAATAAAGTCATCAACTTTAGTGACTTTCCTATTTCAACTTATAGGCTTATACATGTAAGAGTATTCGGTTAAATTTTATGTTAAAGCTTTTAACAAACCTACATGGTATCAACTTAATTATAACTTAGTTTTAAATTTAGGATTTATAATTTCTTTTTTAACATGATTTAATAAGAAAAATAATAATTCATTATTGAGATAAAGTATAATACCTGAACTTGTCCTCTTCTTTTTCTGCCTTAGTTTCCTCGTTGGGTCCCTAAAATTGTAAGAATTAACATTAAGGTTATCTGAGAATTAATGAAATTAATTAGGATTTACATTTCATAAATTAATTAATCAATTACAATTGATAGTTTAAAAAAAATTAATATTTACCTTTTTCAACGACTTTCTTGTCCTAATATTTTTGAACTGAGTAGTAAGGGTTCGGTTGATGCCTTCCCAGCACGCTGAATGATCCTGCAAGCCTTTCCTTCCTCTCCAAGCTGTTAGTTGGGCTTTTATATGCCCCTTGAGCCCTCCTTCCTTGTTTGCAGGCCGCACGGTGGGGACCTCGTGAGCCCTTCTTCCACTTCGGTTCGATTGCACACAGTTGAGGGAAACGACTAGGTAAGCAACTCGCCTCCTTCACCTCTCTCTCTTCTTCTTCTTCTTCTTCTTCTTCTTCTTCTCCCTCTGCCACGACTTCTTTCTTCTCCTTTCTCTACTCCCTCTACTCCACTCTACTGATCTCTCACACTCCCTTTCTCTCTCGATTTTTCTGTTCAAATGAGCGGAGCCGTGAGAGAGACAAACTACTTTTAATTTCAGTTAGGAGACACATCTTTTCCAACACACATCTAAATAAAATTTATTTAATTATATATATATATATATATATATATATATATATATAGACACACACACACACACATTTTCATATTTCAATTATTACAATTACATTGTTAGTTGAATCAAGATTTCTCTCTACACGATGCAACAACGAAATTCGTGATATTTGGATGGGATATGAGGAAGATATTTGATGATTTTATTATCTTAATATCATTTTTTAATGGTCCCGTTTCAGATATAGGAAGGACAAAGCAAAGAATAGTAGAAGGAGAAATGATGAGTTGGAGAAAATGAATAGCGGGCAGAGAAAAAGAGAGGTCAGAAGTTTAGGAGGTGGTTTTGTTTATATAAATCATAGACCGGCTTACCTGGGGGTCGAGCGACATGCAAAGGAGAGGAGAATGATGCGAGGGTTAGGGCAGAGGTGGCGTCTTTGTCGAGCAGAGGAGGAAGCAACGTCGATACTGTATAGAGGAAGAGGAAGCAAGAAGAAGAAGGCTCATGCGGGAGAACCGAAGCCGAGCTCTGGAGCTGATTGCACTGTTGTTGAGTCGAGTCGAGTTGAAGAGGAAGACAAAGGAGTTCCGTCGAGCTTCGAGCGGTTCGCTTTGAAGGAGAAGCGAAGAAGGGAGCGGAACCTGAAGGAGGCGTTAAGTGGCTAGCGTACAAGAGCTCGTGTAAAGGAGGAAGCTAGTAAGTAGTACACGCGCGCAGAGATGTTGACCTGTGCACGGACGAGGCGGAATCGCAAGTTTTCACGTGTTTAAGGCTGGACCAAAGTTTAAATGGTAAAATTTAATAATTTATATTAGGGTTTATGGAAATTATATGCACACACACATAATATAATGTTAATGAAAGATTTATTAAAGTAGGACTTCTGGTTTAGAATTTCAGATTTGAGCAGAATAGAAGGAGATGTAGAGTGCAAGCTTGAGGAGAATTGACTCATGCAATCTTCAATAAGAAAACATCAGTTTATATTTAATTAATGAATTTAATTAGGATCACATAAAAATAATTAATGAAATTTAATTCTTAAATAATGAAAATTTAATAATTTATTAAAATATTAAATTAATTAAATTTTATATCTTGTTCGATTTTCAATTATTTGAAGAGTTTACATCAAGGCTAATGACAAATTAATCAACATCCAGGTGAGTACTCATGTTTTTATACTATGATGATATTTTGTTTCTTCTAAACTAAATGTTTTTATTGGTATTATCGTTAGCTATATTGAAATTACTGCAAAATTATGATTTTAAATTTTATTGAAGTTTTGTTCATACTATATGAATGATATATGTGCACGTCAATATTGAATGATTTGACTGCTATGCAAATGAGAAATGAATATTTTTTAATTAAGATTTGATTTTTATTGGATGTTTAAATGTGCATGATTTGATTATGATAGAGTTACCATTTAATGGTACTAGTGGAAGAAGATACTCGGGTCGGGTCGTGACACAATTAATAATATAATTAATATATTAGTTTTATTTAATAAAATTAGCATTTGTTAGATAAGTATTATTACATAATTATGATTATAGTAAAATTTTATTCATTAATTAAAGCTAATATGTGTAGACTTAAGTAATAATATATATTGTAGCAATTAAAACTTTAATTTTTTTTAATTTAGTTTATATTAACAAAATAATTTTTTTATTGAATTTATTCTGATTTTAGATTTTTTAACAAAATGTACATATTTTGCCTTTTTCTCTAACTTTTCGATGCTCACAAAGCTAGCTTTTGTCCTCTATCTCGTGCATCTTGATTTTGTGTTTGCCACATAAATTTTTTTTTTCATTTCTGCATTTTGAGTTTGAATCCTTCAACTTACAGACATATTTGTTTTTCTTGTTTTTCACACGCATCCTGTCTTCATCATCTCCTGCGCAATATATATAAATATTTTTGTATTGTTCTCATGTTGCAATTTTGATGATACGAGGGTCCTTTTTGAGTAATTTTGATGTTTTGGACACATTGCTGTGTTTTGTTTTATGGAATGATCGAGGTTTGAGCAATTCCATCATGCTTGAGACATTTCAAACTCGACTTATGCGATATTGCTTTCATATTCTATCGTCGTGTTGGATCTAATTGAATATGGGATAGTTGTTGAGGTCAACCTTATTGTTTAGTATTCTACTAACTTTGTTGTTTCTCCCAATTGAAGCATTCGTTTCATCTAAATCTTTATTTGGGAATCATAAAGTCATTGTGATATGGGAAAAGAAAAATACCCTGAAACTTTTGTACTGGTGTGATTTCCTTTTCTTGAGGTTGTTAACCAAGCTATTCTACTGTTGATCTGGGAAAATGTTTTATCCAAGTAACAAATTGCTGCAGGTTGTCAGCGATTCAGTTGTTGTCCAGGATTCATCCAATGGTAGAGAAATTGAATGCCAGCTTCTTCCTATTTCTGATGATACCATGAGATTAAGAAGCCACTATGTTAAAGCATATTTAGGCATATCTCCCCACAACCGTCCTAAATTTTGGCTCGTATTTCCAGTTTCTGTACCACCTCTCGGTTTCAGCACATATGTTATTTCCCTTGCTAGGACGAAAGGTTACAGTCTTATCTTTTATTTATGAATTAGGAAGATTTACAAACGTGCCCCTCAATTCATATGTATTTACATTTCTAACAACTAAACTTTAATTTTTATTTATATGCCACCTTGCCTATGCATGTAAAGTGATGGTACTTTTGACGTGATATGTAATATTTGGGTGCTATAAATGTAAAAAAAGCAAAGTTTAGTGTTAGATATCCAAATACATTGGAATTGGGTGAGAATTATTATGTTCCATTTTATGAGCTTTTTTCCTGCCACTTAAGATGCGCTACAACGGATTGAGGGGCATGCCATTAATTAATCTGTGCAGCTTCAGGCTCTATTACTTCTACGTCTACTTCGTATTTATCCAAGGGAAGTAACAGCGACAACATGGAGATTGGACCCGGAGACTTGAAGCTACATTACAATGTTGATAAACAGGAACTCTCTTATTATTCCAACAGAAGAAGCTCTGTAAGTTTAAGTTGTTATGTCATAATTAGCTATATTCTTTTGTGAATTTTCTCCTATTCTTATTGTGTATGCCTTGAAATGGTGGTTTTCATCGTAAAATGGTATTATAGAGTTCGAACCAATATGCCTATTTGAGCACCTTGATTTTGTTTCTAATTTTACAATTTGTCTGGAAGCTCTGTTAATTTATTATAAGAACATTTACATACATACCAAACAATTCCTATTTATTTACATATCTAACACCCAAACTTTCGCATTTCCATACATGCCGCTCAAATCTTTAACATCACATAAAATATCACCATCACTGTCTTTTTAATAGAAAAATACATCTTTTCATGCATGGGTTTATGTCACCAACGAGTCATAAGTGTAAATATCAAACTTCGGGTGTTATATGCATAAATACATAAGAATTGTGCGGTATGTATATAAATTTCTCTTTATTTTAATGATGTGGAACTTTCTTGCTAGAAAAAAATGCTAATCCTTACTTGTAGAGAATATATGTATATTTGATTTTTATATTTATTTTTCTGGGACCTTTTAGGTTAAATCATCCTTAGGGCAGTCATACAAGTACTATATTGGAGCTGTTGGAGATAAAAGTGATTCACAGGTGTCGATTTGTCAAACAAGCTTCTGCTATTCCTCAATTCAATTTTTTTGTCTAGTGAAACTTTTTTACTGTTTTTTTTTTAGCGTTTCTTACTCATTTCCTTATTCCTATGATACTTCTATAGGCTTCTGGAGCGTATGTTTTTCGTCCAAACGGCACTTCTCCGATCAAATCTAAGCAGGTATTCATTATCCTTTTGTTTTGCTGGTACTTAGGCATGTGATTTCGGATCAAACAGTTATGCTAATATTTGGTCATGCTGGTTGGCCCGGTGAGGATGATATGGGGTTCATATGGCCATCTTGTACAAGCGATATCAGCATAGGCGGAAAGAAACTGTGAGAGTGGGCCCCACCCTCAAAATTTGTATTTATTTATAAAAATATTAAGGTTTAGGAGTTTGTCCACCCTCAATTTATAGTTTTCCCCAATCCTCACAAAAAAATACCCAACTTAACCACTTATCTATCTATATTTTCTTAAAAATTTTTTGTTCTTTTGTATTTGTATTTCTTTTTCATAAATATAATAATATTATTTAAACAGTTATTTATATTTCTTTATAGAAATAGTAATTGTATGTATATGTATGTATATATATATATATATATATATATACATAATTATTATTGTTATTATTATTACTTTAAATTCATTACTTAATACTTAAAATTTTCTCCACCCTAAAATGATGGCTAGTTCCGCCCTTATCAGGTTGCTGGGACCATTTATACCAAATGAGATCCCCTTATATTCATGTGTATTCTTTGGGTTTAGGTGCCTTCATTTTATTGCTGATGTTGCATATTGTTTCTTATCAGCTTTTGGTTTGAGTAAAGTGTCTAAATAGTCCCCTGACTATTTACACACGGTCATTTTAGTACCAAAGTCTATAAAAATATCAAATTAATCCCCCATACTCTTTTAATTTGAGGTGAAATAGTCCTTAAGGGGGACTATTTTAGCCCTCATTAAAAGCGTTTGAGGATTAAATTGACACATTTATAGAATCTGATCCATACAAAGATTCATGGGACTATTTTGGCATTTCTATCCTTTAAATTTCATCTCAGATACCTTCTTCCATTCCTGATTTGTATTTTGGCTAGGTTCCGTTGACTATTTTGCGGGGCCCCCTTGTAGATGAAATGCATGAACAGGTCAATTCATGGATATATCAGGTCATGTAACCTCTTAACTTTATTCAAGTTTTAGGTGCACAGCATACGATACAGATTGTTATATTTGTTTGGTTTAATCATGTACCGTAATATGGCCGGGAAGTAGAGGCATGAACTGTTTGAAGATAAATAGTGAAGGTCTCTGGATTATTTAGCTTTGTTTGATATACGGTTCAATTTTTGGATTATTTTGCAGGTTGTTTTATAAATATAACTTTGTAGAATAAGGTTAATATTCTGCTAATATATGAATATCCTTGCTTAGCTGCTGAATGACAGTTATCCCGCCTAGCTCTCGCAGTGGCTAGTGATTTACCATTTAGTCTCTAATTCCCAAATTTAGAGAGGTAAATATTGATTATTTCTTTGATACCGGAATTAACCTAAACCACAATAGTAAAAACAAATATTATTACGGAAAAAAATAGACGGTTGCAACCAACACATTTGAAAGGAAAAATACAATAATACCACAACTGAAAATTTGATATAACAACAGACATGACACAAACACTCAAACTAGGGTTGAATCTGGGGGTGATGATGGTGGCCAACAAAGGTCTGGAAGGTGGCAGAGTGTTGGACGAGGCGGTTGGCAAGCAGAAAATCTCATGGTTGTGATTTCCAAATGTCCGGGCTGCAAGCAAACAATAGGGATCAATGTGGGAGGGTTTTCTAGTGCGACAACAACAAAATGCGGCTGGCTCGGAGCAACAACAGCAAGAGTGCGGCCGGTTTGGGGTGCCGACAACAAGGTGGAATGCGAGAAGCGAGGGATTTGGATGGCAGCAACAAGTTGGAAGGGGAAGAATGCTATTTTTGAAGATTGGGTGCAGTTGTGTTTGAGAGATTGAGAGAATATTTTCTACTTGCTGCTTAAGATTCATTGCACCATTTTGCTTGGGAACGAGATAAGTACAGTTAAGTTTATTTTTTTTGTGGATTTTTTTGGAGGAATTGAAGGAGAAGGCCAAAACTCTGCAAGGAGATTCAGTGCAATTTTTTTTGAGAGATTGAGAGAATATTTCCTACTTGCTGTTTAGGTTTCATTGCAGAATTTTTGCTTGGGAACGAGATAAGTACAATCAAGTTTATTTTCTCCATGGATTTCTTTTTAAAAGACTTAATATATGATTTACTTTCTTAATGCAATGATTGTGTTAATGTGTTTTTATCATGAGTAATGAGTAATTTCTTGTTTCTTCCTTGAATTAAGAACGTCGTAGGATAAAAATTGATGATTCTTTTATTTTATGAACTTGAATTTTCTAAATGTGTTGTGTTAACTTTTTAACTTTATTTACATTTTGCTTGGTGATACACCAAAATAATGTGTTGTTTTAAGTATACATTTAATGCTTATTTTTTGTTTTATTACACTTTAAAGAAGAGTATTTTTATGTTTTTGTTGCAGGTATATCAATTTTAGACAGTTTGAGCAAAAGTAACAAAAAGACGAAATTTGAAGCAAAAACAACGAATTTTGTGATTCGACACCTGAAGCGCCAGAACTGGCGTCTGAAGTGTCACTTTACAGAGAGCTGGCGTCTAAAGCGTCATTTTATAGAGAGCTGACGCCTGAAGCACCAAAACCCAGAACAACGCGGTCTTAAGCAAGTTGACGTCTGAAGCGCCAGAACCAGCGCCAGAACCAGCGCCAGAGATGACTTTTTACAAATTAAGGCAGTTTGGGACGAATTTTGCACAAATTTAGAAGGGACCACTTATTCTGATCGCCCCATGAAGTGATTCAATGTATCTAGACACTTTGGAATGTTCTTTTATGAAGAGATATGTCTCTTGGATCAAAAGACATTTTTTGAAATTCAAAAGGGTTAACTTTTGGATAGAATTTTGGAGGGAGGCAGTCTCTAATAAAAGAGAGGGCTAATAAAAGAGAGGGAAGTCTACGGCTTAAGGAGAGGCGTGAATGGGAGTTCGAAGGGTTCAATTGAGGCGTGGGAGAGAGAAAGTCAAGGGCTTGGAGATTTTCTTCAAAGATTGTAAAAGGAGAGGGAAGATGAGAGATTTTTTCTTCATTACTCTTCTAAGAGAGTCTTCTAAGAGAGCTAAGAGAGAATTGAGTGCTTGTAAAGAGGGAAAATGCTTGAAGAGAACTTCTAGGGATTTGCTTGGGAAGAATTCTGAGATAAGTTTATATGTCTTTTATTCATATAAACTCATTTTGATATATGAAATTCGTGTTTTGTTGTTTCATTCTCATGAATTATAAGTAGTCTTTTTATACTTCTTCCTACTTTGAGATATGGTTTGTGAAGAATTGATTTTGTTTTATACGGTTTTATATGTTAATAATTTGTGATGATTCGAACTCTGATCTTCATTTACTTTTCGATCTGTCCAATTGAAATGTTAAAATGTGTTGAGAAACGTATGTTCCGAAAGGGCTATAATTTCTAAAATATGGTGAGAATCACATTTGATTCCATATGAGATGATGTTATCCATGAGGTTGAGTGCAAATAAATAGGGAAATATACTTTGTTGGATGCAGAATTTGAGATTTTAAGGTGACAAATTAAAATCTCCAATTTGGTCCAGTTGATTGAAAACTAATGCGAGATTGTTAACCCTCAGGTGATGGAGCAATGAGAGCTCTGAAGTGACAGTTGGTATCCTCTCAGCTTAACCACGGAATTAGCGATCAAACTCTGGATTAGTCAATGTTCGTTATGCACTTTAACAACGTTTCTCAACACATTTTAATTAGGGACCAAGCTCCTTATGAACGCGAGTTTTCCTTGTAGGGAGCGTAGTTGTGTTAAGCTTCTAGGAGGTTCCATCTCTATGATGGATTTGATTTCACTAGGGTCAATCTCTATACCCTTGTGTCGGACTATGAAGCCCAAAAACTTACTGGAAGAGACGTCGAAAGCGCATTTCAACGGGTTCATCTTTAAATCGAATTTCCTAAGGCGTTCAAAGACGGTCTTCAGATCCGTAAGATGATCCTCTTCGAATTGGCTCTTAACCACTACATCATCGATATAACATTCAACCTTGTGATGTAGCAAGTCTTTGAAGATATGTGTCATGGCACGCTGATAGGTTGCCCCGACATTTTTGAGACTGAAGGGCATGACTTTATAACAAAAAATGTCAATGGGCGTATGGAACGCCGTATGCTGTCCTTCCTGCGGAGCCATCCGGATCTGGTTATATCCAGACAAACCATCCATTAAGTAGAACATTGCATGTGTCGAAGCGACATCTACCATCAACTCTGAGATTGGTAGGGGGAAGTCGTCTTTCGGGCAAGCCTTATTCAAGTCCCAAAAGTCAATGCAGACTCGTGTCTGCCAATTCTTCTTTCGAACGGGTACGATGTTTGCGAGCCAAGTGGGGTAAGAAACTTCCCTAATGAAGCCGACTTCAATGAGCTTTTTGGTTTCTTCAATAACCTTGTTGACCTCATTTTTAGTGAGGTTTTAGTCTTCTACTCTTAGAACCTAAGATCTAGCTTTAGGAGTTCTTATTGACCATTCCAGCGGACTAGCACAGCGGACTAGCAATGGAGCCCGGAGCCCACCTCCCGTAGAACTTCAAGCCACTTCTTGACTCATTTTTGTGAAGAACTCGCATGAGTGGTTCCAAGCACTCAACTTTTAGCTGCAAGAGCTAAGGACCAACATGTAGAGGGCCCAAAAACGAGTTCCTATAGGATCAAACCACATTAGGTGAACCCTTTATGACTCGATTACTCGTGAACGATGCAATTCATGCACTTACTGCACCACACACGACTTTGACTTGAATCGACACGTCCACCGGCCAACTCCTGCAG